CGCCCTCCCCTGGCCCTGTGCCCACACCCCCACCCGCAGCCAGAGCGACCCCGCTGCGACCCGGCCGACCTCCTAGACTAGGTCCTAACGTCCTGCAGCTGTGCGAGGTCACCAGCCCCTGCTCACGGGTCTCCAAGCGCGTGGCCTGGCCCTCCGTGTAAATAGCGGTAAAGCCGAGCTTGGTGGTGACCAGGGAGTGGCTGTCCACAGGCTCCTTTCCCGGGGTGGACACGCAGGCACAGCTCCGGGCTGTGCAGGGCTGAGGCGGCGGGGGGAGGGGGGAGGCACGGACAGCAGTGGGCCCCGCCGTCCTGGAAGGACCGACCACCGCTGCTAAGGTAGGTCGGGCTGCTGGCCCCGAGCAGGGGTTGCTGAGGGCGCAGGGACATGGGGGTGGCGGGGTGAGAGGGTGATAGCGAGGGGTACTGAGTTCTCTTTGAGCCAAATGCCCTAAGATTGACTGTGGTGGTGGTTGTAGGTATCTGTAAATATACTAAAACCACGCAATTGTACACTTTTTAAAAAAACATTTTTATTGCTTTCAGAGAGGAAGGGAGAGATAGAAACATCAATGATGAGAGAGAATCATGGATCAGCTGCCTCCTGCACACCCCCTACTGAGGATCGAGCCCGCAACCTGGGCCTGTGCCCTTGACCAGAATCAAACCTGGGACCCTTCAGTCCGCAGGCCTGTGTGCGTTCTCCACTGAGCCAAACCAGCCAGGGCAAGGGTTTGTACACTTTAAACGGGTGAGCTGTACGGTATGTGTAGCAGGTCTTGGGGCAAGTTGGAATGAATTTCAACCCACAAGCCATGTCTCCCCAAGGAGGTGCCGCTCTGTTGGGGCAGCGATGTGCGAAGCAACACCCCCCTTCTCCAGGAATCCTTTACCCGTCTCAGCCTTGACGTCCAACCGTCCTGAGCCCAGATCTCTTCCCTTGCTACTGTGTGATCTCGGGCAGGTGACTGGGCTTCTCTGAGCCTCGGTCTCTCCTCTGTAAAAGGAGGCTAGAGAGGCCTCGTTAACACTAATGAGATCATCTTGATTGAGTGCCCGGCCCAGCACTAGCACTTAGTAAACACAGAGGAAGTGTTCGCTATTATTATGTCACCCATTAATGCAACAGACATTAGTGGACTCTCCTGCGTGCAACTGGTCAGACAGATAAAAGCCTGGGGCGCTCACGCTCTGGCCGGGAGGCAGACACAGCCTGGCCCCTGAGACCAAGGCTGGCACGGAGGAAAGATCAGCTGCCTCCAGCACACCCCCTACTGGGAATCGAGGAGGAAAGAGCTTTCTGAGTAAGGAGAGGGAGGAGGAATCCTGACTGCTGCGAAGCCCGCACACTTGTTTTTTATTTCCGTCGTTTCATTTTGATTGGAAACACATCCATGTGCCCTCCCCGGTTTTGCTAAGTGGACTGAAGGGCTGGGGCAGGTGCAGGAGGCAACCAATTGATGTGTCTCTCATAACAATGTTTCTCTCTGTCTCTCCCCCTCCCTTCCACTCTCTCTAAAAATCAATGGAAAAAACATCCTCGGGTGAGGATGAACAACAAAAGAGAACACGTCCACGTGCCTCATCCTCATCCTTTTATTGTTGTAGTTGTTCTTGGAGAACCTGGATGGGACCTAAGAGGGTAACGCTTCCATTTGCTCAAGACAGACTCCGAAGCATTGATTTTATTTGTGTTCACACTCATTTCTGGTTTGGGCTTTTGTTGTTTGTTTTTTAAGGTTTTGTGTGTGTGTGTGTGTGTGTGTGTGTGTTTCCAGGAAGCAGCCCACACCCAGAGACAAGGGAGCTAATGCTCAAAGATCTGACTCTGCTCAGTTGTTGTTGTTTTTAAATATGTTTTTATTGATTTCAGAGAGGAAGGGAGAGGGAGAGATAGAATCATCAACGATGAGCAAGAATCATTGATCGGCTGCCTCCTGCTCGCCCCCCTACTGGGGATCAAGCCCGCAACCCGGGCATGTGCCCTGACTGGGAATCGAACCCTGACCTCCTGGTTCCTAGGTCGATGCTCAACCACTGAGCCACACTGGCTGAGCTACTCAGTTAGTTTGTTGTTTTTTGTTTTTTTTTTTTAATATATTTCTTTATTGATTTCAGAGAGGAAGGGAAAGGGAGAGAGAGATAGAAACATCAATTATGAAAGAGAATCATTGATCAGCTGCATCCTGCATGCCCCCTACTGGGGATTGAGCCTGCAACCTGGGCATGTGCCCTTGGCCGGAATCGAACCTGGGACCCTTCAGTCCGCAGGCCGACGCTCTATCCACTGAGCCAAACTAGCTAGGGCCCTACTCAGTTTTTTAATCCCATCTAGCATGTTTCATGAAATTTGTTGAGAAGTCTGCCTTAACCTTTGACCCTCCCTCCCATTTCCTGGCCTGATGTTACAAGATTGGGAGGGGGTGGAACTTTAATGGGAACACTGCACCCCACAGCCTGTCTTCTCCCTTGCATCCGCAAGCAGAGCCGGCTGTCACACAGGACTGAGGCATCCAGATAGAAGCCCCAGTAATATCCACCACAGGGCCATACTTTCCAGGGTTGGGAATGCCACCCCTGCCAGTTGGGCCCTGGAACCCTTGGCAGGCCTAGAGTCACCAAGGCACCTTTGTCCAGGCCATGGCGAGACCTGCCCACCATGGAGGACAGGTGCTTCAGCGGAGTCTTTTCTCTTAAAAAAAAAAAAAGACTGTACCCTTTTATGTAATGATGTTTACTTTGAATTTATATTAGTTCACACAAACACTCCATCCATGCTTTTGTTCCAGCCCTCCGGTCCAGTTTAAGAACCCATTGTGGCCCTAGAGTCAAAAAGTTTACCCACCCCTGGCCTAGGCCATGGCGAGACCTGCCCATCATGGAGGACAGGTGCTTCAGCGGCGTCTCTTCTCTCCCGGAGTCTGTGTCTGTGTCTGCACCCAATTCTTTTTTTTCCCCGAACCCTTGGCAGGCCTAGAGTCACCAAGGCACCTTTGTCCAGGCCATGGCGAGACCTGCCCACCATGGAGGACAGGTGCTTCAGCGGAGTCTCTTTTCTCTTGGAGTCTGTCTGCACCCAATTCTTTTTTCCCCCAAAAGGTTTTTATTGATTTTTAGAGAGAGAAGAAGGGAGAGGGAGAGAGAGAGAAACATTGATTTGAGAGCAAATCATGCAACAGATATTAGTGGACTCTCCTGCGTGCAACTGGCCAGACAGGTAAAAGCCTGGGGCGCTCACGCTCTGGCCGGGAGGCAGACACAGCCTGGCCCCTGAGACCAAGGCTGGCACGGAGGAAAGATCAGCTGCCTCCAGCACACCCCCTACTGGGAATGGAGCCCCAGCCTTCTGGTGCACAGGATGATGCCCAACCAACTGAGCCACACTGGCCAGGTCTCTGTGCCAGTTCTTAGCCCTTGGGCCCTCCCTGCTAGACTCGCTCATTCTTTTTTGTGATGAAGGTCTGCACGTGCCATGCAGCTCTGGCTTCTCCATTGCAATCACAGCCTGGTTCACTGATGGGACTTGAGGCAACATCTCACAAGCAAATATCTACCCACAAGGTCTCTGAAAGTGTTCGCCCTCGGAAGATGGCCCACCCTCTCACCCGTTCTGGGAGGTTCTGTTTGTAATTGTTCCACAGCATTAACCTATCTAATGAGTTGGCCCGCTCGGCCTTTCTGTAATATTAATGACAACAGCTCCTGAGGTCTGGATAATACTCATCTGGACCTTGTGGCAGCCCTGGTATCAGGGCTGGGACACAGCCTGCAGGGCAGTGCTGGTTGTGGACTGATTGGTCAGTGCCCTTGACTTCTGTTGTCAAATATTTTAAAAATCGCCAGAATTTGCACAGATTATTTCTTTAAATCCTTACAAGCCTATTGGGTAAGTAGTTTTTATTCCCATTTTAAAGATGAGGAAAAGCAGCACAGATGTGTGAAGGAACGCATCCAGGTGGGACAGCTGGGCCTTGAACGTGGGCCTGTCTGCCCCTGAGCCCATTCTCAGCTACCACCCTGTGCCCGTGAGTACCTACAGCTCAGCCTCTTAGTGAGGGGCGGAGGCACAGCTGCTCTCCCAGACCCCTGGAGCCCCACTTCCTACATGGAAGGGTCCCAATCGGAAAGCCAGGCCAGTGACCAAAGGCGCTTGGGAACTGGCCCCGTTCTTTGCCAAGTGTGCCAGGTGCAGATCCAGCCAGCTGGGCTGTGGGGCTGCCAGGACCATTCGGGTTGGTCAGCAAGCATATCTGGAGCCTCTGCCAGGTGTCAGGCCCGACGCCAGAGCCAGGCAGGCAAGATTGGGACCTTGCCTTCGGAGCACCGAGCTTCTCACCCTCCCCTGACCTCAGGCGCCCCTGTGAGAGGGCTCAGCTGCAGCCATGTCTTTATTTGCTGCCCCATGTCCATGAAGTTCCTGCCCTCTAGGCTGAGGACCACCCTGTCAAAGGCCACGGAGCAAATCCGGACTCAGAAGATGCAGCTGACAGCTCAGGGCCGCGGCCATCTCTTCCTGCGGCTGGCAGGGGCTGCAGGACCGAGTCTGGCCAAAGGCAGGGTGTGGGAAGGGAGAGGCCAGTGAGCGGCAGTAGGACTACAGGCTCGTGATGCCTGGGCCTTGGACCCAACCCCATCCTGTCCCCTCTGCTAAGTCTTGGCTCAGTGCTGGGAGGTGAGGAGCTTATGGGAAAGGTTCTGGGGCCTGTATGTCCAACAGGGGGTGGGAAGGGAAGGAGGGGTTAGTGGAGCCCAGGCACCACCTCCATGGGGACATGTGCAGTCCCTCACACAGCCCTCAGGAAAGGCCACCTGCCCCAGCCTCAGTCATTCCTCAGCTTGCCCCAACTGACAGTGGTCTCCTGACACTGGTCAGGCAGCAGCAGAGGTCCCTGGCTGGGGGCAAAGCAAGGGGTGGGGACCTGGCCATGGGGCATGAGCTGGTCCTTGTTGGTCTCTCCTGGGTCTGTTTCTCCCTTTGATGTGTAATGGGGACACAATGAATCTTTTGTATAAGGACAGATCTCAGGAAATAAGCTGGGTTTGAAGTGCATGCCTGCCTCCATATACTTATTTTAAAGTATGTTTTTATTGATTTCAGAGAAGGCAGAGATAGAAACATCAATGATGAAAGCAAATCATTAATCAGCTGCCTCCTGCACGCCCCCTACTGGGGATCAAACCTGCAACCTAAGCATGTGCCCTGACTGGGACCCACACCAGTCAGCAAGAGAGGCAGTTAATATGCAGGTTCAACAAGCATAAATGGGCACTGTCCTGAGCAAATGGTGATATACATCCCTTTAAGGATAAGGAGTCTGCCTGTCTCATTACTGAAGGCCCTCCCCTCATCCCCCAGTTGAAGGCAAGGCTTTCTAGGATGTTAGCCAGAGGAAACTTGTGAAACAGATTTCATTCAAATGAAGACCATTAACAAGTCTCAACTTCAAAAACTTTTATTTTTGTCTGTTCATCAAGGGCACAGGATACCTTCATCAGTTCCAACTTTTGCTTTTCTCCTTATAGACTGTTCCATCACTATACCCAGGGTACCTATGTGACCAGCTTCCTAGAACCAAAAAATATTTTTGCCTTCTGGTTAAGGTGCTCAAATAAAGTATGGCGTGCAAGTGGCACTGTTTAAGCAGACTCCAAGCCACGCAATAAAACCCAGGAACCTCCTGCATCACGATGCAGACGGGGGTGGGGGGTGGGTGTGTGTGTGAAGGTTCAACTGTCATCCACTGGGGTTACCGCAGGTAACTCAAGCTGATCACAACCACAGCTGTTTCTACTTGTTTGGACACTGCTCCACGCCAGAGCACAGCACATACCAGCGGCTAGGGCTTGGACATCTTTCAGATGCACAACGTGAGGGGGTTATATTGGTAGTTGTTCCAGAGCTGGTTACAAACCTTTTAGAAAACCTGTGTGCTACAGTGAACTCCACCTTTGACAACATGTTAGGCTCATTAACTAGACCTCCAAGCCTATTCTAGTTTCTCTCTCCCGACAAACCCCTTAAATTTGAAACTAATTCTTACTAAAAATGGCCATTAGGGCATAAATGTCTTGCTACAGCTTCTGGTGGCACTTGCGCTCTCTTGCCAACATTGATAGGCTATGCTTTATTGCTGGCCTTCAATGTCAAAGCAGATCTTTCATATGGAAAAGATGTCTTGGACTAGTAAGCTTTGTACCTCTGGAATTGTTAATAACTTGAATAGAGATCAATAAACAGTCCACCCAGAGGTTCATGGAACAGATCCCCAATTTGCGCCCTAGCATTTTAAATAAATTTACTTCCCTTGGCCTACCTCGCACCGGCAATGAATGTGCTTTTTAATTCCTTGACAATATGGAGAGAAGCAGTGACACTGTAAATATTGCAATCCTGGCATTGTTAGAGCAGAGGGTCTTTACATGTTTCTGGAGTTATTTTTGTAACTAAAAGGTTCCTTTGTCTAAGCAAAATCCAAGTAAGCTAAGCTCAAACTTTAGGATACAAAGAACCTAGATAATGGATGTTTTTTGTACATTCAATTTAGGTTTTTGACACTTAGTTGGATAAACAAGTTTATTTGTAAATTTAGTCAACATACATAATTGACCTAAAAACTTCAATAGAAGGATAAATTTTAAAAACCACTTGGAAGACCAGCTCTATAAAGTGATTTCCCCAGGACCATATACCAGATGTAAGCTAACTGGCCGCCATCTTAACTGGCCGCGATGCAACAAGCTGGAGCTAAGAGCCCCTCCCACCCCACAGCAAGTTTACGCTAAGGGTTATAATACAAACTCCACAAGGAAAAGAACTCGGGTCTTGTCTCCTCTTGGTAGAGGAACTCAACCTAGTTATGAAACCAACCACAACACAAAGAAAAGCTGCACTAACCATAACTAGTCAGAATATTAGTAACAGATGATGCTGGTGTGATAACTTGTATTCTAGAGCCCTTATAAATAAAATCCCCCGATAGTGTTTGCATTATCAGCTAGAGGGTTAGTTCACATGTGGTAGAATGAGGACTTATGCAAGGTGTTATTTGCAAAGCATTTTACTACTATGAAAACAAGTGCAGTCTAGTTAGAACACCAACTGGACCCTAAATTACACACACCTTAATGACAAGACTCCCACATGTGAATGTAAAACATTTAATTTAAAAATGTTGACACTACAATATATAAAATAGCTATTATAAATGCACATAGTGTATTCTATAGCTGCCAGGTTTACTTTTTTTTTCTTTTTAGGAAACTGTAAGTTATTACACTGTGGTTAAGACTTGTATCTTCACCCTTGAAAAAGCCCACATTCTATCACAGTGATGCATGGTCAGACTTAACAGCCCCAATTGTTAAACACTTGGATCAAGTCATAACCAGTTTTATTGCAAAAGGACCCTGTACACATTTATCATTCTAGTACCTTAATAACTACCCAACAAGTCATTAACATACAGAAACATGCATCATGAGAAGCAAGAAATATCACCCATCCCTTCTGCATATTAGCAACTTGTCACTCCTGAGCAACAGTGCTCACATCACTGAGGTCTGTGAACAGTCACTTTTCGCATTCATCCTGAGTGAAAGATGGAATGACTTAAGTACAAATGCAACATATTGTAAACACTTTATTACAAAAAAAGTCACAAATTAAACCAAAGTATTTTACAGAATTTACTACAAAACACCGTAAAAACTGCCTTCCCTTAAGCTCTCTCTCCCCGTATCCGGCGAGCCAACTGGATGTCTTTGGGCATGATGGTGACTCTCTTAGCGTGGATGGCACACAGGTTAGTATCTTCAAATAAACCCACCAGGTACGCCTCGCTAGCCTCCTGCAGAGGACAAGAGCGCACGATTAGACTCTGCGGAAACCGAGAAACCAGCCTCCAGCCCCCGCCCCCGCCCGGCCCTCGTCTCACCTGCAGCGCACCGATGGCTGCACTTTGAAACCTCAGGTCGGTTTTGAAATCCTGGGCGATCTCCCTCACCAACCTCTGGAAAGGCAGCTTCCGGATCAGAAGCTCGGTCGATTTCTGGTAACGACGGATTTCTCGAAGCGCGACGTCCCGGGCCTGTAGCGATGGGGCTTCTTCACCCCGCCGGTAGAGGGGGCGCTTTTCCTGGCAGCTTTAGTGGCCAGCTGTTTGCGGGGCGCTTTCCCACCCGTGGATTTGCGAGCAGTCGGCTTGGTTCGGGTCATTTTCTTTCACTCAACGCCGAAGTCTTAGGCCGCTTCTTAGTCCGTGACGCCGCTCCTGCTGCCCGAGGAAGAGCCGCAGCCCAGGAGCTAAGTGCACGGACCACCCCAACGAATAACCAAACCGCTTCGCTTTTCTTTTACTTTTTTATATATAGTGAAATCAGGAAAGTTTCCTTTTTAATGTTAACTTGTTGCCAGTTTACTAGTTTACACACGATCTATTCATGTTTAATTTTAAACAATTAAGACATTCACAATTCTACTTTCTTAATTCATGACTTTGGTTGAGAATCATGCCAAGAAGTCCTCTGTTGTTGTTGTTAGCCTTTAAAGCAAAAATAAAAAGAGAAACCACATGAGGAGGAAAAGGTGGATTGATAAATGGACAGATTTAACTTCATAAACGTTAAATACATCTGTGTGTCAAAGTTTCATTGTCTTACAATGAAAAAGCTGTGAAATTGAGGAAAACATTTCCAACATAAAAGCACATTTCCTTAATATACAAAAATCACTCACAAATTAATAAGAGACGGCAACTTACCTTCTTTTCTGGCATGTTTTTCTTTGTCTCTGCTTCTGAATATTTCTGATCTTTAGATTTCCCTGTGAGAAGTTCCCAATATTGGCTACACATGGGAAGCTCCTGGGGAACTTTAAAAGGCCCTAACGGCTGCCGCGGCCCCAAGTCACCGGCAAACCCACGGACACTCACTCAACGCCGAAGTCTTAGGCCGCTTCTCAGTCCGTGACGCCGCTCCCGCCGCCCAAGGAAGAGCCGCAGCCCAGGAGCTAAGTGCACAGATCAACCCAACGAATAACCAAACCGCTTTGCTCCAAACCCCCCCGATGCTTCCGCTTTTATACCCACGCTTCACGCTGCGTCTCTGCGTCATAGAACCTTCATTTGCATACACCAACGACTTTTTCTATTGGTCGAAGCTTTCGCCGACGCGTTGACATCCCTCGACACAAAGGCCGTGCTAGGGCCCTGTACTCTGATTGGTGAATAT